GTCGAAAACCTCCGGTTGACTGATGCGCGACTGCACCGATTCCATCTCCACATCGGGAATATATCTTTCACATGATCTAGTAGGCTTGATCCTTTGGCTAGGGTAGATCGCTTCATACGCTCGTTCCTGTTGGTCTTGGCGAAAACGTTCCATGGCCTCATCGATATGTCTGCAGGAGTCCTTGCGTAGTAGTCGTCATCTGCTCTTTAGCGCCTGTGGCCTTCGATCGCGAGTTCAGCTTTAACGACTCGACTCGATCGCGTAGACCTGTTGCACCACTTGGGCCTAGAGACATTCGCTGGATGCCGACGGAATCTTCCGACTCCATCTCTGATTACGACGAGGCATATTGTGACGATCCGGTTTGATACCCCCTTGGAACATCGACGATCGTTGCAACCGCTTGATCCGCGGATATGCACTTCCACGTCAGAGGTATTAGCTTGTCATGCAGCGATCGACACGCATGAGTCACCTGATCCTGATCGCATTCCAGCGATTTGTTCGCATCGAACGCCCCAGCGACGTATCCAGCATCTTGCAGCAGCTGGATGATCGCGCTGGTCCCTTCTACAGCGTTAGTCGCCACCTTCGGTCAAGATATCGGGCCTTGTATCTCTTCGATTAGCTTAAAATTCAGTTTCCATATCACGGGGTCGCTCAAAGGCAGATTTTGAGCGCCTTTCAATAGAACCCCTGCGCCAGTTGATCCAACCGCCAGCCTTCCATCTTCATCTCCAGAGCATCGTCCACGACCGTGATCGGTCTCACGATTAATATTTCGCCGCGATCGTGTCGATCCAGTCTGGACTCTTCTTTTCTTTACTCGATCTGTCTTTAAAATCGTCTTCTTCTTAGACATTGCCTGAGTGGTCTTGTGTAGCTTTTGTTCAGTTTTTCGCTGAAGGGTCTTCACCCAGCGGATCGTTCTTTGTAGCACGATCCGCAGTGGTCCCCGAAGGGACCTCAGGACGGGTTTGGGGTCTATCTTCCAGATCGATCGATCGATCGTCCTCTTTTAATTTCTTGTCATCAGAGCCCCTCCCAAAACTCTGATAATCCGGGGATCCCGTAAAATTTTGCGTCGGAGGCAATCCCTTTGCCTATAACGCTTTCATCCAAGGTACAGTCTTGACTTTCACTTCTTCACTTAGGGACTCAAGGTGAAATCCCGAGTCACCAGAAGATCCGGGCACGCGCACTTTTGTAGTGGAGTGGCGATCGCTCATTTTATAAGTCGATCCCAACTCTTTACTGGCACCCAGACGACCGACTAACGGAGTGGGTACTCCGATTCCGTGTGTGCTTCCTTCATCACCTTGTGTACCCGTCGGTAGGGCGGGTTGCACTCTTCCAGGTGGACTCGTGTCGAAGATAAACTTGACCGTGTTAAGGATGGGGTTGTGATCGTGCGGAAATCTTCACGCGATCACGGGGTACTTGTGGGTACTGATATCAGTTACCCTGATCTCAACGGGATCGTCTTGTCCACTATGTGGTTGCTTGATCCGCGAGCCTTCTGACCACTTGAGCCGTTTCAAGATCTTGCGCCTTGCCTTTACGTGTCTTGCTGCGTCCGATCGCAGTTGATGTTGTTTGAAAGTTCTTGATTACACCTGGCCAAAACAATCTAGGTGTGACACTTACGTAGACGTGTAGCGCGAGTCTTTGTTCGACAAGGGCCAAAGATCCTACCCGGAAGAGATAACTTGTGCCTTGTGAAGTAATTTGAACTCTGTTTATTGTTTACTAACCAACCTAAACCCTACCCCTATGCCCATCCGTATATCCTAACCAGATGCCACGCGTCGCCTTTCCAGGAAAATCGTCCCCTCGCATTTGTGTGATCCACTCCCAGTGTATCAGCAGTTATATCTTCTTGTGTTCCACCCAAGATATCCCCATGATCCTGCTAGCGGATCGTGGTGATCTTAATAGTGGATCGTGATCCTACTAGTGGATCGTGATCCTACTAACGAATCGTGATCTTACTAGCGGATCGCAGCTGAGATCGGACTTGCGATCCTGGGTTAGGCTCGCGGTCTTCCAGTGAGATCCACGGTCTTGTCTTGCCATGTCTCACGACGGAGTGCGTAATCAAAACGGGGGTGACCACCCTATAGCCTCGTCCCAGGCTGTACGATCCTGTCCACAAAAGGTTGCGTGCGCTATTGCCAGCCACCCGTCCCGTCCTGTATCCACCAATAATAGCATTCTTGGCTTAACTGGAGCGTGCGATCCGTGCGATCGCCGAACCAAGTCCCAATAGAAATTTCCTTGTGACCGCTTTGCCACACAGTCATACTTAGTGCGCTTGAGCTCAGCAATCCGCACGAGTGTCGACGTCCTTGGGTCTTCTTTCGCCTGATCTTCGAATGCCACTGCCAGGTCTACAACCGACACCGAGCGTGTGGTGTGGTTGTATACCTGCAAGTCTGGTCTCAATGCAGGCCCGGGGAGCGAGGGTACTGTTTGGTTAACCCTCAGCTCGACCCGGTCCGTTCGGTCCTTCGCCGACGACACAACAGCACGCTCAATGATCTTGAGGGCCTCGTCGTGGCGGCCACGCACTGCGTCCATCGTCCCGGCGCAGTGGTTAAACACATGCGCCAGCGTCTCAGAGAGGAAACAACCAGGAAACCTGCACTTGTCATGCGACCGAAGACGCCCGCGCTTCAGGACACAGTGCGTGTCGAGCTGGTTGAGACGACCACCCACCGCGAAGCGGTAGTCGCTCTCCCATAGCCCTCGGGGCCGCGATAAGAAGGCGCTCCCAGCATCACCAAGGGTGCGAGCAACCTTGCCTTGATCCTTCATCGCGGCCCATCGCTGTTAGTGCCTGTTCTCGAGGTGAGGCTTCACGTGCCGATGGACATCCCGATGGTCCAACCAGCCAGCGTGATAGGGCACGCGAAGCTGCAACCTCTGCGCCGGCGTCCCCGTCTCCTCCACCGCTGGCGCCATCTCAAACTTGAGGCCGAAGCGGTGAAGGTGACCCCGGACGTCGAACCACAGCGACCCAATGTCAGCATTCCTTCGCTTGGGCGGTGCTGGGTCCGACGTCCCCAGATTGCTGTTGAGGAGGAGCTCGCCTAGCTCATCCTCTCTGTCCCTCCATGCCAAGGCGTCCAGCTTGTATCCTGATTCAGCAATCTGACGGAGCTGCTGGCGAGCTATGCGCTGGATGGCAGTGTCAGGAGAGTGCAGCATCTGCCACCCATGCGCAACTTGCAAGGCGCCATGCAGCTCCGTCAAGGGTAAGAACCCTAATCCACCACGAGAAACAGGAGCGTAAAAGAACGCCGTCGTGGCGCTAGTGGGCAGCCGTAGCAGGTGTCGAAGGCCGCGTACAAGATGACGGTCAAAAACCTCCAGCTGCTGAGCAAACGACCTCAGGTGCCGGAGGGCGTACTCAACCCGAGGGTACAAGTACACCTTGACCGCCTTGACCACCTGCCACGGCGCCAGCCCGGACTGCATCAGCACCGTCGCATCGTGCTTGAGCTGAGTGAGCGCTGGTGCAAGCTAAACGCGACGGCGCACGTGGTCGAAGCCATCCGCAATCCCCAAGTATTGGTATGAGTCGGAGGCGCTGAGCGCGGGGATCGGGGAGCCGTCGAGCTGCAGCCGGAGGTCGCTGGTCCGGTGAAGACCACGCACATCCCGCTGGACCGACAGGGTAATGCAATTGTGCGGATTCGCCTTCGTGCCGGTCCAGCGCAGGAAGTCGTGCACCACCGAGTGCTGATGCTTGATACCGTCCACGGTGCTGCTGAATGTCTTCAAGACGTCTGCGTAAGCAGCAGCACCGGGACGGGCTTCGCTTGACATCTTCACGCCAGTGTCCGGCAGCGACTTGAGCGCGTGAAGCAGCAGGGCAATCGCGGCAGTAAAGAGGTGGGGGCTGAGTGGGCAGCCTTGAAATACCCACACCCTCAACGCAATTGGCGCCGAGGTCCCATCAACAGCGTTACCAATTGTAAACGCTGCGTCTGCGTAGAGACCACGGCAAGAAGCGACAAACTTGGTCAAAACACCCTGCTGTTGTAGTGCTTCCCATAGCAAGTCGTGTGGCACGCTACCAAAAGCGTCAAAGTCGTACCACACGACATGCAACTCTTGATGCTTGCGCCGGGCTTGGTCAACGAGCATGGCTGCGAGGAGGTTGTGTTCCCCGCAGCCGTTCATGGCTCGAAGGCTTTTCTGCGCTTCAGCGTGGCGGCCATTGACTTCGAGCCAGCGTGTAACGGGGCACCCTGAAGCTTGTACTGGTGACAGTACAAGCTACTTATTCTGGTAACAGAATAAGGCGGTGCCTCGTAACTTCACGTACACTCGTACGTGCAGAGGAAGACGGTAAGAAGAAGCGAGTACTCGGTTAGAGTAAAAAGTAGAACTGTATTTATAATAGTTAATGTCTGCAATAAATCACTATTTATCTTCATCTAACTATGTCTAAATACAAATGTGTAAATCAGTTATCTGCTCACCACTCATTGCGTGCGTCTGTCGTGGCGCGTCTTCGTTGGTTGATATAATGGCCTATATCAACCAATTAGGAAACTACTTGGAAGTGCTACAGAATATTGTCCTTATGACAATATTCTGAGAATATAACTCTTATAGTTATATTCTATTAACAATTTCTTATAAATTGTTATGTAACGATTCACCCCGTTACATCACCCCCCTTAACCATCAGTCACTTTAGTGACTGATTGACTAAATGGATACTCGTCCCAAATCATTTGGGACGGGGTTTACACTTGTTGGTCCGCGTCCACTTTCCAACATCTCATCGCATGGTAAACAAGCCCATGCGATGCGCGAGCAAGGCCGCCGAGAGCGCGTCTGCACGTCTCTGTGCGGACGCCGAAGCAGAAACTAAAGCAACTGATATCCCATCGGTTGCTGAATCGACTCAGCCTGTATCACCTGGTGATGCAGGTGCTGGTCATGAAGACACTCGTGTCTTCACAGAGTACGAGCTCGGTGTCTCGTACTCTCCTGATACGGATGACGGATCCGTATCGACGGCAATTGAATCCAAGCCGCCTGCCAAGCGTGGCATGGACGATGCTTTGCGTCGCAGCATCTTTGGTTCATCTGACTCATCAGATGAACCATCGCCGAAGCGAAGGCGCTCGAGGTCGCGAGACTCGGGCGCTAATAGTGGTGTCGTTTCTCCAATGGACACCACTTCACAGCGAGGTGCCAGTACTTCTGTCGGCACGTCGCAGGAAGAGCGGGACCGCAATGTGTTGCGTCTCGCTCCAGAAAAAAGAAGGCATGGATGCCTCCTAAATCTGTCATGGATCACTTGTCGGCGACGACGAGTGATCGTTATCGAACACGATTGTTCGATTCGTCAAGGATTCATCACCTTGACCCCAGCGCGAAAGACTATCGCGCTGAACATGAAGTTCTTCATCGATGCTTTCTTCAGACATCGATGGTACAGTGGGAATCACAAACGTGATGGTCCCTCACTACTTCAGGCGTGGAACGCCTACATCCATAATCTCGAGGATGTAGGTCGTGACGCTTGGAACGACAAACTTATCAAAGCTCGTGATAAGTTTGAAAAGCGAACCCCGACAGGTGCACGCTACAAGCTGCATCGTCTGTCAAGGGAGAAAGGATTACCCTGCCTCTCTTGGGGAGACTCGTGCCCATGTTGTGTGAACAACTCTGCACGAGCACCTAAGGAGGCTTACCTCCTTACCAGCCCGTGGTGGCGCGTACGTGTCTCTACTGAGATGTACGAAGGGATTGACAACCTGAAATCCCTTTACGACCGTGCCGGGAAGACTTTCTCCGGCGGTCCTTCTGCGGCACAGGATGTGTCGCGTCGTACTGCTCGACCAGACCCAGTACGTCAACCATCAATTGGGAGCGGGGCTCCCAAGAATCCCAGGACGGGGGATAGCCGCGCCACCGGACGAGATAACTCGTCCGACGTCCGTTCACGTCGCGGTGGTTCAACAGCTGCTCAACTAGATAGCGCTGGCCACCGCGAGGAGTCCTCTAATGGAGGTGGAGGAGGAGGAAAGACGCTCTCCACACGATCATGTGGATCGGTGTGTTCCCGAGAGCTTCTTTGATCGCGTAACGCAAGGGTTACGCGACGATCTCGAGCATGAGCGGAATAGGCGTCTCCAGATGGTGGACACTGCCTCGAAGCATCGAGCTGAGTTTGCCTTTGCTCAGCTTGAGAACGAGAGATCTCTGACATCTCTTCGTGACGAGCTAAGGGGTAGCTCGTGGGATTGTTGATCGGTCTCGGGCTGAGATAACTGCTCTTCAGACCCTTGTTGATGCCCACCATCGGGAGCACAAGGCTCTCTGCGAGATGCTTGAGCGCAAGGGCGTTCTTCATCGGAAGAAGCAGCGTACTGATGGTACGGCTTAAGCCGACCAACGTAAAACGTGGGATGCGTTCGCATCTTACGTGGTAACTCGATCGTGTATGCATTGCCTAGGCGGTGCAATACACGAAATGGGCCAATGTACTTGGGTAGTAGTTTACTGCTACCCAAGTTAGTCACTACATGTTTTGGTAGATTAACCGTAGACAGTAGGACTAAGTCACCTTTATTAAATAAAGAGTGTTTGCCCTTCCATTCTTGTCAGCGTTTTGCTTTTGCTTATCCACCGCTTCGGCGATGGAGTCTTGCACAAAACGGACTACCGTTTCACGAGCCAGTATGAACTCATCTGATGACTCGTTAGCTTCAGTGTGCTGTGAGCGCACTGCAGCGACAACAACCTTTTCTTCAGTGAGGGCTTCCGCACTCTCACTGGGATCATTGTCTTCAGTGAGGGCTTCCGCACTCTCACTGGCATCATCTTCTTCGATATCGATGTTATCGATATCGGCATCAAACGCAATGACTTCTTCGTCAGAGCGTGATGAGCGTGAACCAAATCGGTTTTTGCTCGCGCGAGTCCCTCCCCCCTTAAACCAGAGTTACACTCTAGTAAGGTGGGTACACGCGGATGGCGCAAGCCATTCACGTAAAACGGTGTATGTGTCGTGGACGCATGCACCGAGTTGTTGATGGCAAACTCTACCATTGGCAAAAACTCACTCCAACTTTTAAAGGAGTGTACGTATCCTCGAAGTATCTCTTCGAGGACACGGTTGGCACGTTCCGTCTGACCATCTGACTCTGGATGATCAGATGTTGACATCTTCAAGCGCGTTCCGAGTGATTTGAACACGGAACGCCAGAAATCAGCAGTGAATCGTGGATCTCTGTCTGATACGAGTTCACGGGGCAACCCATGAAGTCGGAAGATGGTGTCAATAAAGACACAAGCACAGCCACTTGCCGTGATTGTCTCTGGTACAGCCACAAGGTGTACCATTTTGCTGAATCTGTCAACAAATACGAGAATACCCGTATTCCCGCGTGCGTCTTTGGGTAACCCGAAGACGAAATCCGTGAGATGGATTCCCAGCACTCAGCCGGAACCGGTAGAGGCTGTAAAAGGTGCACGCAGTGAAGGACTTGACTTCACTCGTTGGCAGACTTCGCATGCGCGAACATACTTTCGCACAAACTGATACTGGCGGGGCCAGTAAAAGTCTCGACTTACCGTGAGATATGTTTTCTCTCGGCCACGATGTCCTCCTATAGGAGCATCGTGATACTCGAACATGATCCGCAAACGCAGATCAGTATCATCTGGAATGACAACACGTGGTGTGTCACCAGAAACGGCTGTATAGTACAGTAAACCGTTACGAGTAGTGTATCGATCTGATGCAGATCGATACGCAGACGACAATCGTTTCAACGATTCTCGAGATGGTTGGGAGAGATGTGACAACAACTTCACAATCTCACCATCTTGGGCGTATGCCCGCCTCACATCATCATACAACGTTGTAGATGGAACTGAGGACGTCATAACCGCAACAGTGACTGTCTCACTGTTGGGTTTCGCGACTGTTTCAAAGTCGGGACGACGTGAGAGTGCATCAGCGACGACATTAAGTCGTCCTGGTTTGTACTCGACCGTAAAGTTGTATTCTGCAAAGAATGACAACCACCGCGCCATTCGTTGTGAAAGGTGCGGGCTGTTCACTGCCGTGCGTAAGGACGCATGGTCAGTGTAAACAACGAAGGGTCTATCTCCTAATAGATAGACTCTGAACTTCGCGAGTGCATACTTCATGGCAAGGAGTTCCTTGTCATGCACTGGATAGTTCCGCTCAGCTGGTTGCAGCTGACGCGACTGATAGCAGACGACGCGTTCAACGCCTTCAAGGTCGTACTGCATTAATGCACAGCCGATTGCGAAATCGCTGGCATCACAGACCACATGAAATGGCCTGTCCTGATCGGCTATTGCTAGGACTGGGGATTGTATCAAGCTCTGCTTGATACCCTCAAAGGAGCGTTGACATTCAGCGTTCCATAACCACCTCTCGTTCTTTTTCAACAAACGAGAGAGGTGTACAGTCATCTCGGCGTAATTGCGTGAATACTTATGCAAATACGCCGCTAGCCCAAGGAATTTTCGAAGACCTTTGACATCGACCGGCACGGGCCAGTCGGCGATCGCCTTGATCTTTTCGGGATCAGGACGTACACCGTTCTTACCAACGATGCACCCAAGAAGTGGTATTTCGCTTGCTGCAAATATACACTTCTTGAGGTTTGCATACAATTGATGCTTTCGCATGATTGTAAGAACTTGTCGGACGTGGTACTTGTGAACCTCAACGTCCGACTTTCCATCCATAGCTCGACTATGGATGAATACGTCATCGAAATAACTCGGCGCGAATTCTCGTACTGGCCTCAACAGATGTGATACACACCTGTTGAACGTGGCAGGGGCATTACTGAGCCCTTGTGGCATTACTAGCCATTCCCAGAGCATGCCGCTAGGCGTGCTAACTGCGGTATAGGGTATATCCCGTTCCCGCATTAGGATTTGATAGAAGCCATCCATCAAATCCATGGACGAAAAGATGGTACTCTTTGACATACCATCAATGATTACGTCCTTCCTCGGTATCGGCGTCTGAGCCGGTACCGTTGCAGCGTTCAATTTGTTGAACGCGTGCACTATCCGCCACCCTCCTGTTGCTTTTCGCACACAGAAGGTCGGAGAGCTATGTGGGGAAGTTGATTCCCTCACATGGCCCGCTGCTAAACGATCGGCAAAGAACTTGTCGATCGCAAGTACTTGTTCACGAGGCAGTGGCCACTGCTTCATGACACAGTACTTCGAGCCTGGTTTAAGCTCGACTTCGTGTCGAATACCTTTATCCTTCGGTAATTCGCACGGAACAGTTTCAGGGAATACATCCTTGAATTCAACCAAATCCTCATAGAGAGGGTTTTCCTTGAGCGATTCCCATGATTGGGACTCATATCGCTCAATTCGTGTCTTTTCATCTAGGACACTCTCGTCCATAGATGAACTACTGAGAAACTCTCTCGTTCTCAGTAAACACTGTTGCTGACCTTATGTCGGTTACACACTCGTCGTCAGCGACGAGTATGCAGATCTGCTTGACTTTGCCACTACGCAGATCACGCAAGAACCTTTTATGTTCGAGCGTTGGCAACTGAGTGATCTCCGAAGTTAACTTCGGAGGCGCAATCAGATCAAGTGTATAAGCGCCTACACATGATCCGTTATTGACTATGACATTCAATGTCTCTGTCATTTCCTGGGGACTTATTCCCTCAGGCTTCGAAGGACTTATTCCTTCGTCTTCCCGGGGACTTATTCCCGCGGGTTTCGGGGAACTTATTTCCGCCGTATTTGTAATCTTGGGACTTATTCCCTTTACTTCCTCTAGCTGGGGTTGCGCAACCACAGCGAGATCCTCTACGAAAGACTCTCCAGTCGATCTAGGATTATCGTTTCGCTTAACCTGAGCGATCGATTGTTTCTCTTCTAGATGTTCCCCTCTAGGGATACATCTTTGTCCCAGTCCACCCGACTTATTCGAGTGGTGGACCTTCGGCGCAGCCTGTGTTTCCTCACAGCCGCCGGAACTTTGCTCCGAAGTGTAACCGTTTGGTACACTAAGGTTTTGTGCAGTCGTACTAACGACCGTACCACAAGTGAGGCCATCGCACTCACTCGTAGTACATCCACACGCTTGTGGACGCTCCAAAACGTTCATCAGATGGCCATCTGATGAACAAGCGGCAGGCATCGTTACTGTCCGATGTTGCCAGTTTACCCGTGGTTCGTACCTTCTGAGCCACGGTATTCCAAGGATGACATCAAATTTGTCATCCAAATCCAATGCGATAAAGTCATCGTCGTATTGGGTATCTTCTAGCGTATAGTGGATCTTCACTATACGCTTCATGACTGGTTACGGATGCGCCTGTCGCAAGACGTACCGTCATCCTCGTAGGAGGTGTGTCACATTCACTGAATTTAAAGTGACCATCTTCTAGCGATTGGCGTCGCACAAAATTGTTGGACGCCCCACAATCGACTAGAGCTCGAAGGGACAACTTATTCGTCACTTCGAGTTTCAAGGTAATGAGTGAGATCTCATTACCTAGAGCAGCAACGCACAATGTCTGTGTGTTGGGAGCAACCTTCATCAAGAGGCCTACAAATTCTCTTGACGTTGCTGGATCAGTAGGGTGCTCCGCACCTACTGATCCTGTCCGTTTTTTGACGGTCCATCCCGTTGTTGCGTCTTTGCACCAACTGCGGACCCTCGTCCCTGCCCCTTTCTCATGGGTGGACGGTCACTACGCCCAGTGTCGCGAGACACTGGACGAGGGGCACTACACTCGTAAGCGTAGTGTCCTGTCTTTTGACATCTGTTGCATCTCTGCAACTTCTTGTAGCCTGTAGAGCGAGCCTTCTCGCTCTCTACATAACAGAGTTCCATCGGCTCTGGACCTCCGTTGTCATATCGCCTCGGTTGACGATATGATGTCGAGCTGGCGCGAGCCTGTCTCAGACTGAAGTCTTCCTGCTCCGCAATGGAAATGGCTTGTTCTAGTGAATCTAGTTCAAGCCGGAACAGGTGAGTCTTGACGGGACCATCCGCAAGACCCTGCATGAACACCGAAACCAACGTGTGTTCATCCACCGGATTGGAACTTATACAACTCGTGAGATGTCGTATATGTTGAGCGTAAGCGTGCACATCACGCTTACCCTGCTTGAGCTTCAAGAGTTCGGTTCGAGCTCTGAACTCAGCTCTAGGCGGTTCAAACGTTTGTCTGAGCCGCGACTTGAAGACTTCCAACGACCCAAACGCATATGGGTCGTGCAGCTTGAGCCCCAGTGCCCAAGTCTTGGCACGTCCTGCCAGATTTGACTGGGCAAATGCAACTTGCATATCCCCGTCGTCGATGCGACGCGCCCTTATGGCGTCATCCAATTCGACGAACCATCTCAAGAGGGAGTCTTCTTCGACCCCCTATACTTTGAGATGTCAATCTTCAAAGTCTCGGGCCGACGCGAGTGCATCGACCCGCCAGCAGCAGCCTGCTGCTGTCTCAACAGTTCAAACTGCTGAGCACCCTGTTCTCTCAACAACTCTGCTTGTTGAGAACCTTGTTGGTGAAGCAAGGCTACTTTCTCGCGTTCAGCGTCAAGTTCATTTTGAATGAACTTGGCGATAGTAGCATGTTGGGCATCTCTATTGAGAGCCTCTAGCATGACGCTAACAGCATGGATGCCCATGGTCGAACCCATTCGTTCAACCGCATCCCATTCGACATCGCTCAAATGGGAGTAGCCGTCACGCGTAGCGTGAAAGCTTTGGTCATCTTCATCATCCAACATATTCATGTTGGATGTGAACGCGGTCCTTGGACGGACTACAAAGTGCTACCAGGTGTAACGGGGCACCCTGAAGCTTGTACTGGTGACAGTACAAGCTACTTATTCTGATAACAGAATAAGGCGGTGCCTCGTAACTTCACGTACACTCGTACGTGCAGAGGAAGACGGTAAGAAGAAGCGAGTACTCGGTTAGAGTAAAAGTAGAACTGTATTTATAATAGTTAATGTCTGCAATAAATCACTATTTATCTTCATCTAACTATGTCTAAATACAAATGTGTAAATCAGTTATCTGCTCACCACTCATTGCGTGCGTCTGTCGTGGCGCGTCTTCGTTGGTTGATATAATGGCCTATATCAACCAATTAGGAACTACTTGGAAGTGCTACAGAATATTGTCCTTATGACAATATTCTGAGAATATAACTCTTATAGTTATATTCTATTAACAATTTCTTATAAATTGTTATGTAACGATTCACCCCGTTACACAGCGCGTAAAGCGACGCGACAAGACACCGGCGTACAACTTGTAGATGGCCTGCTGCAAGCAGATCGACCGCCAATTCGATGGGTCGAGCCGATCGCCCTTCTTGTGCAGCAGGCGCACCACGCCAATCTTCCAACTCTGCGGCACACGCTTGGACTGCCAGCAGCGCGCGAACGCTGCGTGTAGAGCGGGCAGAAGCTGGGCCGTGAACATCTTGAAGATGTCGTAGCCGACACCGTCCAGGCCGGGGCTTGAACTGCCACGCGCACGCTGCAATTGGTCATCGATCTCCTGTGACGACGGCGCATCCGTGAGCAGTGCCATGTCAACGGTTGCTGGCGGCAGGCGGTCCATGGCCGTGCGGAACGCGGCACCTACCGGTGCCATGGGGTCGAAGGCACCCATCGGGGTGTTCACCACCGTGAAGAACTGGTGCAGACGCTCCCCTGGAATGGGGCAGATGCCTTCTTCCACGTCCACGCAGTCCGGCGGAGGTGCAGTGGTAGCGGATGGCGTAGCTGCAGCCTCATCTGCCTCGCGCTTGGACCGAGCCGTCGCCAGGATGCTCTCAACACACACCTTCTCATCGGTGCCGTAGAGGTGGCGGAGGCCGTGTTGCTCTAGGAAGGAGTGAATCCTCCCCACACGGCGACGTGCCTTAGCCACAACCTTGCGGTTGCCCGGCTCGCTGCGCTGGACAGCATGCATGTCGTCCAGAGCCTCGTCAAGCCGGTGCTCACGGTGATGACGTGTCACACGGGGCGGACGCGTGCGCCAGCAACCCTTGTCACCACCAGAGGGACCATGGCGACGACGTGGACGTGGACGGCTGCCACCTTGGCGCTGACCGTCGTGCGGAACGGCCTGTGCTTGGCCTTGGTGCGGCTCCTTCCGGCGCTGCGAACGAGGTTGGGCGGGGTGCTGTGTCTGGGAGTAAGGCTGCAGGTGATCGTACAGTACATAAGGGAGGGCTGTGATGTAGCCCTCTGCCTCCTCCCAGTCGTCGGCATCTGTAATCTTGGCAGCTAGCCTCGCAGCCAGCCGCTCCACCAACTTGCCCGCAGCCTCTTGCTCGTCCTCGTCCAGCTGCCGCAGTCGCAGCCGTGACCGGCGCTGAGGCACTGCATCAGGCCCCACACGCATCGCTGCATACACCTCGCCATCATCGATGTCCCCCATGTCATCATCATCTGCAGGGCTTGGGGGGACATCGGCGCCCACCGCGACATGCGGTGTGGCAGGCAGAGGTGCAGCTGCGGGAGCAGGGGCCGTCGTGGAGGTGGAGGTGCATCCATGTCCATCGGTATGCACCCCACACTCCAACGTAGTCGTGCGGCAGTCAAGAGCGGCGTTGGCGAGGCGGTCGGCATGGCCATTTGCCTGCCTGTCGATGGGATGGAGCGTGGCCTGCTCCATCCGCGCCAGTTCCGCCATGACCGCAATGCGCAGTTGCCTCAGGCGCTTGTTGCGTGTGGCGAAGATGCCACGCACCTGCTGGATGACAAGAGTGCTGTCACCCTCGATCCGTAGGCGCGTGACACCGTGGTCGGCGGCAGCCCGTGTGCCGAGCAGCAGCGCGGTGTACTCGGCCGTGTTGTTGGTTTCGCCGCTGCTCGGCATGTAGTGGGAGCACGTCCACACGACAGGGCCACTGGGCTTGAACAGCGCAGCGCCGGCGCCGCCAGGGCCAGGGTTTGCCCGGCAGGCACCGTCAAAGCGCAGCAGCCACTCGCCGTCCTTGTCTTGGTCATCGGTGACGTCCTCGTCGTCGCTGTCCCCAGCCTTGGTCTCCTCTTCCTCCGTTAGCTCTGGCGGGAGCAGATGGTCAGCAATCCTTGACACCACCAAGCTGCGAGACAGTGGTGGACCCCAACGTGGGGCGGGAACCTCGGAGAGGCGTGACGCAACGCGAGAAGCAACCAGCTGTCTTGGGAGCGGAGGGCTCCATCTTGACTCTGTAGACCTGTCATGCGTGGTGCTCGACTGTGGGGGGGACACAGCGAGCACCGGAGGGTCTTGGCGGGGCAGCACGGGTTCGGTGTCGGCCACCGTAGCGGTGGCATTGACAGCACCAGCAGTGGGGCTGAGGTCCCCTGCTGCTGGTGTAGTCGCAGCCGAAGTGTCGCGGAGGCTGGCACACGCGCGAGCGTGGTTTGCTGCTGCCAGCCTCGACACGAAAGGCGTGCCGCACGCACAACCTGCCGAGAAGCGGTCGAGGAAGGTGATACGGCGGTGCCGTGAGTCCCTGTGTCGCTTGAGCGAAGCAAAGCTTGAGGCCGTGTATGTACACAGCGTGCACGTGAAGCGCTGCGCGTTGTGTGCATACACGGCCAGGACGGAGGCCGGGAGTGCGCTGGCCGTGGATGGCCAAAGCGCTGAGTGCTTGGGGCCGGCCTCGACGTCCTCGAGCAGCAGTTGCTCGGCCTGCTCGCGCGGGTCATCGTCGCCGTCATCGCTCAAGCGGCGACGCTTGCCGCCGATGCGGAGCACGAGAGGCGGCGAGCCCGGTACATGGCTGGCTGCCTGCCACGTCGCGCACTGGTCAACCTCCATAGGGACGGCAGCGGTCGTGGCAGGAGCCTGTGCATCACCCACGGGCAGCATGGTACCCGCCCTGCCGGGTGTGCAGTCATCAAGTTGGGGGCAGGGCCCGGCAGACAACTCGTCGCCGCAAGGCATCGGAGCGTCGCACCCGGCTCGGTCTGGCAGTATGGGTGTCTGCCAGCCGAGCCGGTCGTCACAGGTAATTGGGACAGAAACAGAAGCATAAACAATTGCTGCAGTGGACACGGCCTCGCTGGTGGTAGCGTGCATGCCCACAGGAGCGGCCGTGGCCACTGCAGTGTATCCAGCTCGGGCGGGCAGCTCCGTAGCTACCTGTCCGAGCCGGTCGTCATCACTTGCGGCGGTGGTAGCCTCTGCGTCACCGTCCGAGACCTCACGGTCGCTGCTGCTGTCGTCCTCAGGGTCTCCAGGGCCACGAGTGGCACCTAGGGCGCGAGCAGTAAAGACTGCAAGCGCGAACCCGTCGGTACCCCGGTCGGGCAGCATTTCTGCCGCCCTGCCGGGTCTAGCAGCAACATCCGCAGGGTCCTGGACGGCGACGGGGCCGTCGGGAGCTGGGGGGAGGGCGGGGGGAGCCGTCTCACACGTCGTAGAACCCGGGTACAGCCTGTTGGCACCCGGGGAGCCGATGCTCTGAGGTAGTCCATGCTGGACCCGGTCGGGCAGCATGCTTGCCACCCTGCCGGGCCCAGCTTCAGCGTTTGCAGTGTCTTGTGGCCCTCCCACGTCTGGGAGGGCGCTTGGCGAGGTGTCCGTAGTCGTAGTGCATGTTGTAGAACCCGGGAGCTGCCTGCAAGCACCCGGGGAGCCGTCGCTCTGTAGGTCGTCCATGTCTTGAAGCGATACCCGGTCGGGCAGCGTAACGCCCGCCCTGCCGGGTATGCCAACAAACGCTCTGGGGTCTTGAGGGGCCGCGGAGGGCGAGCAGGCACGCGGAGACGCTGTCGAAGCCAAACGGCGCGCGGGGGAGGCGGGTGGCTGACTCGAGGCCGCTGCAGGGCCGGCGGAGACGATGCCATCTTGGGCCGGAGAGTCTTGAGCGTTGTCTTGATGGTTGTCGCGAAAATCGGCGACCCCGATACTTAAACCAAGTATATTGCCGAAGGTACCTTCGCTGGTACCAACGGGGGGTCGCCGGGCCTCGTCCCGGTCTATGATGACACCCAAAATTGGGGCCGGAGACCGGGGGGCCTCGCGCGCGACAGAGACCTCTGCGCGCGCGGAAACTTGGTAGGCACTGGGCGATGTGGGATCCGAACCCGTGCCCGAAGTTGCGGCGCCCAACTCCGCGTCACCGCCGCGAGGCGATGGCGCGCGTAGACGCACTCGGGGCCCATTTTGGGGCCCCGGAAGGGAATTATTGGAGGTACCAGTGTGTACCCCTACCCCTTGTCCGACGGCGACCGTTCCCAGGCAGTTTCGTCCCACCCGTTCCGCAAAGAAGGGTGACGAACTTTCTGGGAACAGTCTTAAATCAGACTGCCCCGCCTCTTCCCCAGTGACCAGTTGCGTGTCATCTGGGAGAGGGGGCATTTCGTCGTGTCCCACTCCAGTTTCGTCATCAGGCGACGCGTCATAGAAAGACGCATCGCTGGCGAGACTGGAATGGCTGTCCGTAGAGCACTCACTATCGCTAGATAGAGAGCGCTCTCGAGGCTCCCAACCCGGCCACCAAAACCGCATAGAAGGGGCGATAGTGGAAAGGCCAGGGAAGAAAGGACAGATAGACAAACGGTACAGAACGAACTAAGATAGAACGAACGAAAGTAGAAAAGAAGCAAGTTTATTGTAGTCGGCCTCACGAGGGTAAGGTGTAAGCCACTCGGAGACCTTCCTAAAATAGTATCTCTACTATGTCAGGACGTCCAAAAATGAATGTGAAAAAGACCGACAAAAGTCGGAAACCAGTTTTCACACTGATTAGAACAGATACTACACTTGATCTTAGCTAAAAAGCCGAGAAGGTATGGCCTGAAAGCAATACAGAGGACAGAATGCAATACTGTCGATACAATAGCGAATGTTGACAATAGGAATTTGAATGTTACATTAAATTCGAAATGCGAAAGTGATATTTCAAACAATGAAATAGGGCAACACATACTAGGAATCTAACGTCAGTTTTTGGTGCTGCACGCGTGTATGTTGATAGTGTGTGTACGTTGTGAATGATGTAAAGTAATCATGACAATGCGATATGTAAAAGATGTTGAAAAGGTAAATGCAAGTTGGCCTCACGGGAGAAAGGTGTAAGCCCCCGGAGACCGCCCCGTCCTAGTAGCAAGCTACTTCGACAGGATGTCCAAAAATGAATGTGAAAAAGACCGACAAAAGTCGGAAACCAGTTTTCACACTGATTAGAACAGATACTACACTTGATCTTAGCTAAAAAGCCGAGAAGGTATGATTGAGTCAACCTAATACAAGATTTACTTATAACTCACATTAGCCCGTATGTACAGGTTTGGATTTTTGGAAATGATTGATTTATTATCGAAACTATTTGTTAAAGATGATACGGTTTGTTTAAAACACTTTAGTCGCGGTAAATTACCCTGGTACACCGTACCAGTCTTCGGAAAGATAGAGCATATTACCATTTTGCTCAAAAAAAAGGAAAACAGCAGGTGTTATCAAGTAGTTTTTCGTTAGCAGCCAATACGTTTGCTCATCATGACGCAAGCATCTCTTTTTCGAAAATATACAGCTATAAAATTTAACCATGCAATGTGTTGAGCTTGTTGAAATTGAACTTGTTTGGTCGATACAGTGTAATCGTATATGTTCTTGGTACCTGATTTTGGCATGCAGTGACGAGGTGGGTGCACATTGAGCATATGATTGATCTTGTCTCTATTAGCGCCAACGCGACCTTTATGATCCTCCTACTATGATTAACTGCTCGTGGTAGCCTTCACAGAGGTACGGATCCTCGGCAAAGATTAAATCTTGCGAAGATGAGAGCAGGGAGATCCATGGGTTACTACTTTTCGAGCGTCACCTCGCGCAATCTATTACTCGATGACGAAGTCGATTCATTGGTCAGAAAGCAAAAAAAGGCCGGTATCAAGAAAGCGTTAGCATCGAGTTATGCACGTTGTTATAGCCTTGAAAACAAACATTGATGTTCAGCCTCTCCCATTGAAATTTGCATCGCGTCAATGTCTGGACTTCGGTATGTATCATCACTGTAATTTTGGGCAAAGAAGACAACGTTTACTTTTTCGCACATTATTGTATGTTGCCGATAAACGTAAGTTATTAAAACATAAGTTTAAGACGAGCTCCGATTGAAACTTTGTGGACTAACTGTATTTTTTGCTGTACCGATTTTCGCACAAATGTCTTAAACAACCGAGTCACATTCCGGTCAAAACTTCTAAACCGTGTCACCTATTGGAATATTCCCTAATTTATATGATTATCGCAGCTACAGTTGTAATTGTGTTAGGTCGTTTAATCTATGGATCAGTTTCTGAATCGATCACTGTCTTTACATACTACTAGCACATCTATTTGAGCTCCCTTTGCATTTTATTTAGATCGACTGTACTGACGTACGTCACATACAGCCGATTCCCGGGCTGTGTCCTGCTCAGATATGATCCCATGGATTCCTCCTAGGAAAGAATGCGTATGATACCCAACTCTGGTATTTGTCATCATTCATTGATGTTAAATTGTTTCATCTTGCTGAACAGGATCATTTCGTGTCGAGAACATTATGAAGAACTGCTGTACTTGATACACCTTGTCACATTTGCTCTGACCTGAGGATACCTCGGCATCCGACTACCAGGCGTGATGGCGATACAAATCTAGTGTTTTCTGCCATATTTGTGAGTGACTGCATTTCTATTACTTACGCTAGAACAAATGATACACTTTCAGACAAACGTCTTTGAACCAGTCAACAGGAAAGCATGGTAGCATATATTACACACAGAATGATCTGATCTCGATTTCTAATCTCAACGTCAGAACATTGCATTTATCTGATCTACCAATAGTTTGATGATCTATAAACATTAGTCATGATAGCAGCGACATGCTACCCTGCTGAAGAGTAAGCACAAAGCGGGGGCCAAGATCGACATATATTAACTTATATATATATGTATACATGTGGAATAGTCAGGAGGGGTGACCGACTAACTACCTTACGTCGCGTAAACACAACGTTCTCCTCATTTAGTACCGTTGATGTTTCAGGTTTAGCGATACTTAATATGTAGGCTAAATGTCCTAGATTTACTTATCAGAAACTTGAGGTCGGCAAGTTATGTTACTGGATCCAGTTCTTCAGCTACTTGTCGTTGAATTGAAAGGCGTAACAGGGTCAAACAGTCGCGTGAAGCATTTTTACAAGGATATGTGAAGGCCCTAATTGTAATGCGCTCTTAGACTTATCGTTTGGTTGAGGTACAGAAATAGCCAACCTACCGCGTGTGTGAGCGGTACACAACACGTTTGTAGACATCGAGATTGCACTTGAATTTGTCAGCTTCCAAGACAACCCTTGAGTGTGTGGGGTTGAGTGATGTCATCTTCGATATTTTAATAGATTCAAAATCAAAGCGTAGCGACCGCGTCTAATCTTTTAGCCAACAGTCAAGTATATTAAGCATTTCTGTTTATTTTAGTTTTCTAACAAAAAACAGTCTCATCTTTGCAACTTAGCCAATAAGTATGTGCCGGAGGACGGGAAACAGCACCCGAGCCCCATTTGGCAAGTGCTGCTTGTATTAGCAGTCTTAGGGCGCCCGTCTGAACCTCACTGTACTTGAGAAAGACGGAACAACTTTCTTGGATGGAAAGAAGGTGTGTGCTACGGTCACGCAGCTTTGAGTCCAGCTGCAATTGATCAGTCCGAACGACTATGGATTGAAAAGATGTAGTGTTGATATAGCTATCAGATTGACTGCCTAATCATCAAGAACACGCACAAAATAGAAATAATAGAATAGCGACAAGAGCCACACAAATAGATCATTACATTAAATGAGATCTGTCGTACACGAAATTAAAGCGTAGTCCATAATAGGGTCGGATCGATACATCTTATATCAATAAAAACACACAATGACTGGTAAATGAAGTATACTCTAATTTTGTTGAATTGTCATGACATACATTTTTTAGGTACTAGGGTATTATTTCGACTTTAAAAACAGACGACGAACGTTAAGACGGGTATAAGTTAATTCTGCTTAAAGCAAGCAAATCTAAAAAGTCTATGCAGCGCATGTAAAAAAACCTGTCTCTACTTCTCTTTTTTATCACTGACATCGTTAAAAATCGTTATTCTTAAAGATTTAAAATAAAGTACACAAATTTTAAAAATACTATTGTCTAGCTAAGAGCGGATATTAATAGAAGTGCGTTTAAATGCAAATTTCCCGTTTTACTACCTGTAATAAACTTGAAATAAAGTAGATACATTTCTTCCGCATTTAGGCCACAAACTGCTTACATCTCATCTAAATTGCGAGTATCACAGTTTTTATTCCATAAAAATGATTTTGACCCATAAATTCACTATAATTGAGGCTAAACATTAGATTTGTTGCAAGCGATGCCAAGCCTTAAATTGTGTTGTAGTGATAGTGTCTTTTGACCTGATAGATTTTTTATCCGGGTGCATCGAGTTTGTTAAATGTTAAAGGGGATCACCTTTAAAAATGGAAAATGTAACTCAATATTTCCCTATTCTCATTTGTTTATAATGCGATGATCTCTCGATCTGTGATTCAATTAGGCTAGCCTTTAATGCCCATGATAACGATCCACTCTTTGTTTTTAAATTTTCCGAATCTAATCGAGCCATACCCGTATCAGGCACTGGAAACTTGTACTGACACAGTACAATTTGAATTACACTGAAACCGTGCAAGCAGTTCCGCGCGTCACTTCACGTGCACGGTCAATGCAGAGTAAGACCAAGCATCAAAATTTGTCAGATAAAGCTAGAAATTGTACTGCATCATAAATTAATTTTAAAATTTACCTGTGGCTAGTCCTTACTTTAATATATATATATATACAAAAAAGTATAGGGAGCCTTTCTTACCACTCATTGCTCGTTTCCATCATAAATAGACCACATATATGACTAGTACAATAGACATTTCCGCCAATGATTAAGTGCCTATTAAGGATTCCATTTACGGTCATATCCTTGCATAATCTAACTTTTAGATAAAATTTCAGTTTCCAGCCTATAATTGTAAATTGAATGTAACAGGCTCACCATGTTTCAGTGCCGACTTTATTGCATACATATAAAGCCATGTTAGGAAAGTAGTGACATGATGCGACGAATTAGTAAGCTCGTCTCGATTTAATAATGTAAGCATAGTCTAATTCCGGATATGAAACACAAATGAGCCTGATTACAATTTAAAAACAATTCTAGCACAAATCGGCCCGATAGGCTTTCTTGATCAGGTTTTCATAAAAAAATGGAAACCGATAATCTCTTCTCAGTATCCCGGTAATCTCCTATCAATTTAATTATACACTACGCAATTGGCTAATTTGTAGATAAGCCTTGAGGGTATTGTTTCACAATAGCTGGGTTTAGCGATCTGTTTGACTTTATTAGCATGGCTCGCAATCGTTATTATGTATTATGTAGCGCAAAAGCATATCAAGCTATGCCTTAACCGTTGCAAACTCGAAGC